CCACCAGATCCCAGCACAGGAGGGTGCACAGCAGTTCCTGAGAGCCAGGCCAAGGGTTTGCTGCCTTGTTGAAGAAATCCCAGCTTTGACTGTGACATCCCTGACCTGCCCCAGGGCTGAGCTCAGGCCTCAGAGCACCAAGCTGGGCTCAGACACCAACCCAGCAGCTCCAGAACCAGCCAGCAGCAGTGGGAACAGGGAGGATGACAAAGTTCAGATGGGAAATAGGAGCACAGGGAACTCTCCAAGTTCCCTGGAAGCAGCTGGAAGCAGCAGAGCTTGGCTCAGCTCTGAGCTGCAGACCTGTTGAACAGGTCACGCTGTCTCCAGAGGCTGAGCTGCAAACGCTGCTTCAACTGAGACTGAGCCTTCCTGGTGCCTCCAGAGATGGTCTTAACCCTGAATTATGAGGCAGCAATGACCCAGAGGCAGCACATGATAGATGCCTACAGAATGGCCTGGTCAGGACAGGCACAAAGAGATTTGATTACCCTTATCTTGGCCTGCAGGACAATATATTGCTATTTAATGTGGAATAATTGCATTCCCTTTTTTATCCTCTTGACAGTTAAGACCTCAGAAAGAAAAATAACAAATAGCTTGTCCATCCTTGCTTTGTTAATTATTCCAGTGGAGATTAAGACAAGATCTCTCTATAAGTGACAGAGAGGATGACTCTGGTTTAAAGCTACAAAGCCAATTTTACCTGCTGAGGATTTAACCATTGATTCAAGCTTTGGGTGCAGTCAGCTGGAAAAACAAAGCTAAAACATTCCTGCAATAAAGTGCCAATCCATAGCATGTCATTCATCACAACAGACTGCACTTACCCAAATACACACAACCCCTCACAACACCATCCACTGGCATCAGTGTTTTGTTAAGCTGATGAGAAACAACTCAAGTGTTTTGCACCATCCCACTATTTCATACCCTCGATTAACATTTATACACCAATCTTTAAAAATAGAACCAAATAACACAATTTTTTAAAAATTGTTATTAATATTCTGTGTGGATTCTGCTTTTTCACAGTACTGTAATTAAAGTCTTTATTGTGCTGGTACCATTTAATCAGAAAATAATTGATCTTTTCAGAATTGATATATCACCTGTTTGTACCTCTGTCCCACAGGACATCAGATTGTCCAAAATTAGTTCTTAAAGTGTCCTGAATTGCAGAACCTTTGACTCCTCAAGATGAAAAGGCCCTTTAATTCTTGAGATGCACCTTGATTAGTCCAACGAGACTAATTAATCATGGAAAACTACTCCATTAGTAGGCACTCCAACATGGTCAAAGCGAACCTCAGGCATGTGGGGTGGCAAACTTTTGTCTGGGTTTGGAAAATCAGGTTGGGAGCAGCGTGGGGCACGTCCCCCTCCTAATTAAGGCTGCTGTGCAGGACTTGTGCAAAGCTGGGCCTGCCTTTGTGAGCTCAGGAGAGCAGCTCAAGGGTGGAAAGAGGGTGGATGGAGCCTTGGGGGTGATTTAGGCAGGATGAGTCTCTGATTTCTATTTTTATAATGTGACCTCCAGGAATACTTTTCTGAAAGCAGGGGAAAATGATGAACAAGCCCATATTCTGAATTCCAGGCAGATTTTCTGCCCTGCACGTGCAACCCATTAAAAATCAGGAGGCACATCCTAGAAACAGTTTCCAGAAGACAGCACTGCTCTAAACCCACTGGGAGAAACTCCTGCCCAGAACCAGGAGTTCATCAGTCTGCTGGTGGGTTTTGCTTCATTCATTCCTGCTCTTCCAGCCTCTGCAGAGGAGCCAGCATTGTCAGAGGAGTGCCCAGAGTATTCCATGGCTCAGCTCTGAATGAAGCTCGTTTAAATCTATTTATTGGTGAAAACCAAGTGGGCACGGTCAGCCAGACCTCTGGGTTCAGTGGGTTTTGCCTCAGGAAGGGGATGGGCTTTATGACACCCTGGCACATACAGAGGGTGAGAAAACATCCTCAGGAGTCTTAAAAACCTGGGAGGAGTTCAGTGGGTTTTTAGGAGAATGCCACGTTCCTGTAAAAGTCCCAGATCTTCCCGAGTCAAAAATTCCCACTGTAGCCAGAGGCCCTGCTTAAAACTGGCATCGAAATACAGGTCCCAGGGGTCACTCCGGTGCCTGGGAGGAGGGGCAGGTGTTTCCCCTGGAAGAATCCTGCAGGGATTTGATCCCTGTAGGTGGAGGCTCATTGATGCTCCTTTGCTTAACAATCGCATTTGTGAGCTGCATTCGCCGCCTGGGTGGGGCATTTCCCTGCCCTTGTGCCGGGGGAATCTGCCCAAGGAGCAGAAAAGTCGGGGTTTCTCCTCAACCAGGAGGGCGGGGAGGGGAAGGGAAGGGTGTTTGTGGGGGCAACGGGGGGGCTCCTTTTTTCTTCTGCCCCCTCCCTGTGCACACACACAGACCTGCAGAGAAGGCTCCGGGAGAGATGCTGCTTCCCACAGGCTGCCACATGGATGCAGGGGACGTAAAAAGCTGGATGTGAAAGGATCCATCCCCTCTGCAGCCTGTGGTGTGCTCGAGTTCACCTCACACACACACACACACGGATATAAATACGTGCACCCACCTTGTCATTCAGGTTCTGCAGCGCCTCCTTCCCCGTGGCACTCCTGATCTCCACCTTTCTCCCGAAATCAACAGATGGTTCCCCTCCCTTCCCGCTCTGCCTGGAATACACGGACGGAGCATCCGGACCCAGGTGGGCGACATCCTTCTGCTTTGCCACGACTTTGTTGGATCCCCGGCCCACCGAGAGCGAGTCGAAGTCGATGGTCTTGTTCTCCAGGGAGCCTTCCACCGGGCAGAACATGCCACAGAATTTCTGCCGGGGCTTGGGGCTGCCCGAGCCCAGGTTTTTGAAGAAGGCTGGCACCTCTTCTTCCTCGCCCTGCCGCCCGTTCTGCTTCCTCTCAGCCATGGCTCGGGTGGTCTCCCTGCCGAGGGGGAATAACAACAGCAGTAACCAGGAGGGTCCTTCACACACACACACACACGAGCACACACGCGGGGAGAGGAGAGGTGGATAAAAAAAAAGGAAAAGCGATGGCTCTGGGTCCTAAAGACACGGCAGCATCAGCTGCAAAGGGCTGTGCCCCGCAGGTCCCCTGCCCCCATCACAGCCACCGGCCAGCCTGTGGCTCTTTGATGCAGCGCAAAGTTGAGGGAAAAGGATGGGGCAGATCCTGCTGCAATCAAGGGAGGAGGTTTCAAGTTCCCAGCATCCAGATGGGGAGGGAGGGAAAAGGAGAGAGAGAGGAAAAAAAAAATTAAAAAAATAATTAAAAAAAAAAAATGCTCACTCTGCAGCAGAAACTGGGGACTGCTCCGGAAGTGATGCGAGTGGTGAATTGGCAAATGGACTCGATCAGGTTGGAGCCAAAGC